TGTTATATGCTTATTGTAGCTAAAGATTTGAAGTTTAAGTTATTTTGAAGTTTAAACTTAGCTTGAAAGATTGTGTAACAGATATATAGAGAAAATTTGTTATTCAAGATTCCTACCCAAAAAATGGAGTGTAATCTGATTTCCAAGATTACTATCCAAGGAAATGGAAGTTTTGTTAGATATTCAAGATTCCTATCCAAAGAAATGGAAGTTAAAAATATTTATATGGTTTGCACTCATCATTTCATTATCATGGAATAAACTATATGTATAGATTTGATCTAACACACTAGATCACACTTAGTAGTGTATGCAATATGCTAAATACTACAATGTAATGCCATGACTTCACTTCGACCTGTGAAGTAGAAGGGTAATCTTCATCACATGTAGAAAGCGAAGCATAAGTAAAGAAAGAAATGCGAAATTGTAAAGACATTAGCTTATCGAACATTTTAATCATCATCTCAAGTGCTGTAGATCCCCCGAGCTGAAGGTGCCAATCTGCTGCATGGTCTGATGATGTAGGTCCGAGAAGAGGAAGTGGAATGTGGTCCTCATGCATGCACGAACGAACGAACGAACCATGCAACGCAACCAACAATGAGGCAGTTAGACGCGAAATTATGAGCAGCGAAGGCCGTGAGTTCGTTCGCATGTCTGACGATCGGATAAGAAGGCCGAAAGCTATGCGAAGTGGAAGAGAAGGCCACGGCCATGGTCATTACAGCACCGTCATGCGGCAACGTGGGCACGATGGCTTATCCAGCCGTGGATCTCAAACCAGAGTTCGTTGTGAAGGAAACACTTCCAACAGGCAGTGTCGTAATATAGAGTATAAGTTTAGCATACCTCCTGCTCAGCTTCATGGAGCTGAGCAGGCCCCATGTTTTGTACGTTCTTTTCTCTTTGCCTTGCGTTGCCCTGCTAAACACAACCACGGCCATGTCTTTTAGACCCGACGACACAAGAGGGACTGATGGCTTTTAAGTACTGCTATCTTGTCCTTGAACAGAGTGGTTTAATAGGCAGAAGGGAAACCAAGACTGCGTTTTCATGTTTTCGTCATGACCACCGCTCCACTGATTTATCCCAAAGAGCTGCTATCAAAGATGTGGCTGTTGTTGCAGTCTTGGATAAATATGAAATCGTAAACATTTGTCTTCTTTCTTTCCTGAAGAGCACGTTTGTGATTAGAGTCTATTCTGCTCTAAAAGGTCAGGTGAGTGTGACATTACCATGAATGACGATGTTAAGAAGTCAATGACCAGCAGCAAGTTATGATCGGAGCTGGTTAAAGACGTCAGACCTTGTGACAGTGATGTCAGCAGGAGCTGCTGATGTTGACCAGCAGAATAGAATTGGAACTGATTGAGAGAGACAAGTTTCTAATCTGTCGGGCAGTTTTCTCACCCCTTCATGTCTTAAGAGCTTTTGTTTTTTAATCATGCAAGCATTAGAGAGAGAGCTCAGGAACGGTTTTTACGTCAGAGTTGTTTTGAGGTGATCACAACCTCACCTACCGTCGAACGGCATCAAATTCGAAGAGAAACTCTAACTCAGTGATAACAGCTATTGCAACAATGTAATCCGGCCTGCAGTTTTGTGGACCCCACGTCTTCAAATTTTCTCGGACAAAGAAATATACTGGTTAATCTGTTTCTTACCTCCCCAGCTGGACGTCTGTTGAGATCCTCGGCCCTGCCAAAGCAGTTGGACATTAAATCTGCGTAGAAGCTCCACGTTTGGAATGTTAAGACCTGAATCGCAAACCGATCTGCAGTGCTAGGAAACGAAACAAACGTTATAGACGAAGCAGTTTCAGCTGCTGGTATATCAGAAACTGGCTAAGTGATCTTCGGGAAAGCTGAGACTGCATGAGGACTTCGAGGCTTTGTGACGATAATCTTTATCGACTGCTGAATACTTTTGTCCATAGATCTTCAACTTACATCTCGAGGTCCAACTCTTCTAGGAATTTCAGCTGAAAACAAGGATCAGACTTCAGGCACAAGAGAAGGAATATCAGAACTGCAAATTTCACGATCAAAGACTGATGGACCAGAGAACCCACCAAAAGTCTGAAAGCCCCGTTCTTCCCGAACATGACATCAAACTTTAATTCCAACTTGTGCTGTTCAGGGTTGTTGGTTCCACAGATAGAAGCCATTCGGACCCAATGCTGGCAGCACCTGAACATGCGTGTAAATCTCGCACTTATTCAATGTGGAGAAACAAAAGCTTATGAGGAGGTTTTTTTTTTTAATTTGCAGCCAGAGTTCCATCACTATGGATTCCCATGTGCAAAACGATTTCAATGCTCTTTGAGACATACTGAGTTGTTAGGAGTTCCAGAGTGATATACGGGCTGTACGAGACTGGTGGGTCCTTGTTGCACAAATCTGTCGGTCCAAATAAGGCTCAAAGGAGGGAAATTATAAGGTATTGAAACGAGCAAACAATGGGTTCGATGGGCCTGAGACACTTGAGCATGCAGTAGAATTGATGCTGCCGTCACAGAACGTCCACCCACACAGTGAAACCGCTACTTATCCGGCATGTGCATCTTTCTTGGACTTTGCAGCATCATCAGTATTCATTTCCTTGTTTAAATTCCACGCTCTCCATCTCTTCATCCCATGCGCCTCAAACGATATGATTTGGAGCTCCAAGCCGCCTTTGTGGAATTGCGCATGCTTAACTCTATTTTATACCCGCAATGTTTGTTATGTGCGCCGACGATGGCGTCTATAATGCATCCACGGTCTCCGAGCAGTGTTGGTGTTTGTCGACGAGACAGTGCTCATCCCGACAGGCTTCGTGTAACCCGTCTCCTTCCCGAACTGGTCACTTGAAGAGGTTCAGGTGACCAATTCGTGCGACCATTGCCGCCATCTGGTAGAGACGCAGAAGAGTTCTTTATCCCATGACGAGGCCCGTCGTACATACTTAGCAGTGGGACAGCACGTGGATTTGGTGGGATTTAATCACTGTTCTAATAGTTTGAGAGTTTCTGGGCCGTTCTCACAACGAATCAAATGAAACGAATAATATATGCAAGAGCAAAACCACGCCGTATCCTTCGACTAGATGATTACATGTGGCTTTGATTCTAGACTACATGACACGAGAGATTGTCCTCACGAGAGAGCTTCATTGTTCTGGTCGAGTTATGACGCTCGCTTCAGCTTTCGCTGGACTCAATGACCAGCTTCATGAGCTGCACATGCATCAGAGAAGCTTGTGGGATAATCTGGTAACTGACGCTTGTGATCCCACAACATGTCCCCCAACGAAGGACGAGTTAAGAGTGGACGTGTGCTCAGCGCTCCTGGGCACATACATTCAATCTGCTGCAGGGCTCGGTGGTCATAGCCCTAAGCCCGCTGAGCAGTACAGAACAGTACAACAAGTGGCAACGAGGACAAATGAGATGATATTTTCTTTTGCATGTGCGGATGGATACCGTTGCCGATACTCACCGACGAAGTACACAGTTTCTAGTTGATCGATACGTACATGCCCTACGTGACCTGATAGCAGCAAATTAGAAGACGAGGCCCATCTCGTACAGAGTGCACAGAAAAGAGTGCATCAGATTCTGTTACTCGAGAGTATCATGACCATGGTGTCAGTCAGCAGTATTAGTGGTTAATTATGATCATGAACTGTGTGAACTTGTTGAGACGGACCAAGATTGCACATTTAAGCAGTCAATCAAGTGATTCTTAGGATGCTCTTGATAGGCGAGGCACGAACCATGATCACGGTTGTACATACAGTTGAGAACATCAACAAACCACTGAAAGCCGTAAGATTGCCTTCATTGTATTTCATTTCCTACGTTATCTTACACCAAACCTAGCATCTGCCATCATTCCAGTCAACTTGACTTTTCCTCATTTGGAACCTTCGGGGCTTCTTCCTTGCACAGCTTTTCGGCAGTCTTGAGAATCCACACTCAGTACCTCCAACACCGTTTCACTTACTTGGAGGTCGGTCCGCGAGCTTTGCATCCCCCGAGACTGTTGGTACCTCCAGTCCAGGATTCACGTGGTTCCCATACGGCACTGGAGTATAAGTGTTGGCCCTCCCTGCTTCTTGACGATGTATTAGCGGTCTATTAATCAGAGGATACACATGTACACCTACCACAAGAAGTGCAGTCACACACAGATCAAATCTAATGGCCACGGTGACCATGGGCTAGTATTCAGTTTACACTTCATATCCTGCATATGGTGACTTCGAAGAACCTGCTTTCGAGTCTCAGACCTTTGTGGTATCCCGGACGTAGCTGTTCTATGTGTACAGGTGTACCAGCAAGTCTAGTGACTTTCCAAGGAAAGCTCCGTATAAGTGTTTTCTGCTACATGCACGGACATGAATTTAGAGGTAGTGATTGATCAAGCCGTGGGTAATAAGTTTAACTTCGCTTCATAACTGATGATTAACATGGTGTTAAAGTTGATCCCAAAGTTGTTTCCGTTTTTAGCGATTTTTAGTATTGCGCAGAAGCCTTTGGTTTGGTATGGTTCATAAGAGGATATGCAACTCTTTCACGCCAAGAGCCAGGAAAGAGTCGCAGATTCCCCAGCAGAACTACTTTCAGAGGCTCAACAAAAAACGGTTGTTGAACTAGTGGAGGTCGGTGGTCCGGAGCATACCTATAGACTGGTGGGCTCATTTTTTCAAAGCTCACATTTGCAGTGCTCTGTCAGAATAATATACAATGGACAAACAAAAGAGTCAAACTGACGCGTACAGAATACATGGGTATGAGTGACAGAACTAACAACAGGACTTCGGAAGCCTATACGGTCCAAGTGGTTAGGGCATCCCAAATAAGAGTTTCAAGCCCAGCTTGCGCAGTCCACTTAACGAATTGAAGAAGCCAAAATAAATATATGCATATCGGGATTCTCTGAACGAAAAAAAGCTCAATCAATCATCATTCGAATCCAGTGACGTTTCGGACTGGATTTCTAACTAAAAGATTTGATAAACCTGGCCCTGTGATTGGGCTTCATCATTAATGACAAGAATTGACTGCCGAGGTTATCAGCAGGTAGAAGATATCCTACCTAAATTTGCTAATTCTCAGTGGAGAACGGATCTCAAGAATTGTCCTGGACTACATAAATATTCACTGTCTTTCGGCCGATGAGCGATAGCCACTGCATCGCCAAAGCAAAGAATGTTGAGCACAATAATAAGAATGTTCAGCTATCCAATTGTACAACCTAAAAGAATTCGAAACGTGGTCAGGAAGAACCTCATGTTCCATAAGGAACACGTTTCAAGTGCATTTCACACTGCTGATGTGTTACTACTACCAACTCACCGTGCTTCCCAGGTAGCAATAACTTTGGGCAAGCCATCCCTGGCGCTGGTACTTGATGCTTGCAGTATCTAAACCATATTTTTACACTGGCCGCAAACCCAATTCCTCAGGCCTCGCCACATATAGCGTGGAAACCTCAAGAAGAAATATACGAGATAAGGAGCCATACAAGCTCAAGTTTTTGATACTCTTGCTAACCAGGAGAAGGTCACTTTCTTCAGCTTGCCGATTGACAGGTATCCGGCTCACATCCTTCTGAGCACACAAAAGTTCATGTGAGTAAGCCTGACTGAGAATTACCAAGGATCATACTGAAAAAGAATGTCAGTAACGTGCATTTCACGTACTTCTCCTGGACAAATGCAAATCATGGTCGTGTGAATGGGTAATGCAGCGCATGCCAAGGATCACATGGAAGTAGAATGAATACAAATATCTCACATCCGGCTTCTTGAGAATGAGGAGCAATCGTCAACGTTTTTCAGAGATTTATCATATGCTCAAGTTCCGGAGAGAAACAACCACTGCATTTACCTACTGACAAATCCTGTTTGTTCCTTCAAGACTATAGAAGGCTGTGATCCAGTAGGTTCAAATTTGTCAACAACCTTAACCTTCTGGCTGTTACTGGAAGAAGATACTAACAATAAGAGCACATGAAAGAGGCCCTAACAAGACGACAGAAGAACATATCAAGGCCTTCAAAGTATGAAAGCTAACAGTGCTAACACGACTTTGCAAGCGGAGAAACAAAACCTGTTTCTATCCTAGTCACGACCAAAGGCACAACCCTCCAAACCTACTGTTACATCAACCCATAAAGTCTAACTGTTAGACTCTAACACCATCCAGATCACGTTTTAGGTGCCAGTTGACAAGCACAATTTCTTCACTACCAACCTCTACTGACCTTTAGCATGAGGAGAATAGATAGAAGGAATGGTTAGCTCTAGTGTCCTGCAACATGACCAAGGTTCGCTTGTATAACCATATGATGAATTACCATCAATTTCTACGACACAACCTGCTCTAACAAGTTGAATTCCAATCAAGAACGGACCATCCATGACCTGATGAATGGTCTATTCTTGACGCAGACTGTCAGATATCAGCAACTACCTAAGCTGGATTGTAATGAAAGCTCTGCAGTTTGTGGCACCAAATGTCAGGATGGCCGGCAGTGCCTTTGATATAATGAAGGAGATTCTCAACGCAACATCAAGTGAGGGCGGAGACCACTACTGGACAGAAGTTGCGTATGTAGACTAGCCTAATCGACAGTCTCCTTAAAACATGGTATTTCAACTCCTGAATTTGTAATAAAAACAGATTTTCGGGGACAACCTAACATCATTCTCACAAACAAATCAAGAAAGTCAATGACGTGAGACACTCACCACCTCATTCTGAACAATGCCTGCAGAATGTAGACATTGTACAATTCGACCGCGCAAACGACTTCAACTGAAGTGATGCTTAGAAGAAATCTTCCTGCTTCAAAGACTGCATTACAGCACATGAAACCCCAAAACTCTTCCCGCAGTTCCAGAAGCGAGAGGAAGTAGTCCGTGACCCTCAGAGCCATCGAATTTGTCAAGGGTCCTAGTTGAGGGAGATTTGTTGGGTGGGAACAACTTTCCTTGAATCATAACACCAGCTTCAACAAGCACGTTTAGTACTTGTGACTTCTGAAGATTCGTACGAATAATCTTGTATATCGGGATCAAGGGCATAAGTTTGTGCACCCGCTTGCTCTCCAGTGGCCTGGATCATTTGCAACTGTCTCAGAAACTGGAGAGAATCTTACTGCCGCAATCTTCTTCCGAGTTGCCTCAGTTAATGTGGGTTTTACTGGCATGCACCTGCAAGTGGATGCACTCCAATTGACACCACCAGATGATCCAAGCATTGAAATGAACGAAAGCTTCAGAATCATATGTTTGTGATTATGCTTGGTACCCTCAACATACCCACAAACTCTCACAGATGATGAAGCTTCAGCTTTTTCCTTTCTTCCTTCCCTCACTTGCAGATAAAAACGTTCCTAGCCAAGGTAGTATAATGCGTAACATGTTTGAGCAGCCTTCTTCTTCTGTTCTTTGCTTCTTATGAGTATTATCTCTTGGTTCTGGAGTAGGGAGCCCCACAGCAAAAATCATGTTTCGGCATGTTCCATCTTCCATCCCAGCCTCGCAAGTTCGTCGAATCCGGCAAGGAAGACACAACTTCTCCCAGTCTCGCTTTGTCAAATGCTTCAAAATCTGCATCGTAAGAATTGTTCAAGAACATTCCTCTCGTCACCTCTGAGTCCCATGCAGGGGTACAAGCACCACACGGAGACAAAGTCTCATTCACAGTGGACAGCCTCTCTCCTCTACGCACATTCGATCCTCCGTCCTCAGAGGTGTACCGTGAGCTGTTCAACGCATCGAGAACCTCGGAAGGCTCATTTCCTTCCCTGACTGTGATGATCGGGCCTAGGGCATGTTCATAACGAATCAACTGAAAGGCCGCTTTGTCAGCCGCCTTAGCCATACACCTCCCGCACAGTCTACCCTGCCAGACATACAACCTGTTGTTGAATTGAATGACAAAAGATCCTCGAGAGTCGAGAGCAGCCATGCTCGGGTTATTCACGCTTTTTGGGACAAGGTGGAGGGGATCGAAGGGTGAGTGCGGAGCCATCCGAAACATGCGCAAAGTAGGACTTTTAGGCGATCCCAGGATTCTGGACTGCCACTGCATGAGCTGAAAAGCGAAACCCATATTGGGACTGGTCACTCCCCTCAAGGTTTTCACATCCTGAAACACGTCTTCGAATTGTCTACCTTCTCTCCACATCAAATAAGCAATGACTATGGCGGCTGATCTCGACACGCCCTGGCAGCAGTGGATATAAACGCGTCCTCCCTGCTCCTTCACGTCTTCAAAATAGTCGAAACAATCGTAGAGAACAGAAGTGAGGTCCTCACACGGACTATCCTGCAGCCAGAGGACTCTGTAGTGGAAGCTCTTGGGGAAATATTCAGAGCACACATAACCGACACAGTTGAGAATATGGGTGATTTTGTTCGTCCTCAGCGTGTCGAAATCTTGGGCCACGATACTGCTGCCGAAGTACAGATGGCCCCGAATTCGTGAGCACTGCTTCTCGCAAAAAGCCATCTTTTCTCTCTTCTGCGAGAGCTCCGAATCCGTGGGTTCCGATGCATCACTCTCCTGGAAGGTCACCTCCTGCACGGCTCCAAGGTCCAGCTTGATGTCCAATCCATTCCTCCCTTTTTGGAACTTCTCAAATTTCCTCTCCTCCACAGCTGCTCCCCCTCCTGACAGTCGCGGGATATCCAAACCTAATCTAGCAGCTCCACCTCCGCCATCAGGACCTCCGCGAGAGACAGAGAGTGAAGAAAGGGGTGGGCACAAAAGAGAAGTCTGCCGGGAAAAGTCGCTGCTGCAATCTGATCCAGCCCCTCCTGCTGCTGGGTCTAACTCGCCCGAATTACTGCTGCTCTGCTGGCTGTTGCCAGAACCCACTGGCAAGTTCGCTGAAGACCCCGAGCTCTCGGGCGCTTCCCTCTCTCTGGACCTCGCAGTCCACGACACCGATCGCCAGTGGTGCCTCGGTGTTCCGCAGCCAGGAGACCCACCTCCTCCATGGTGGGTCTCTGACTTCACTCTCTGACTCCGACCGTCACCTGCCATCTTCTTGGGAATCCTTTAATTCGTTCAAACTTCCTTTCGAGTTTCTTTCCCCCTGCCCTACCTTCTGCTTCCTTGCTGTCCGTTCCGAATCCTTTCTCAAATTCCCCAGCCCCAGCTCAACCGGACACGGCCACGTCTCCTCACGAGCCCAGCTTCCTGTTCGAATTCACCTCCCCAGAGTGATTGGTTTCATCGAACAAGTTAATCATGCGCTGCGCTGCCCGGCTCTTCTTGAGGAGCGGCGGCTGCTCACGCAGACTGTGAGCAGACGATAAGAACAACGATCGATCGGCTCAGGCTCGAGTCCATCCTCCTCCATTCCCATCAGCACCACGATCCTCCAAGAACAACCAACTCCGGATCAGTTCAAAACCCTCGTAAACGTTCCAGCCGATGCAACAATGGTGGTGGACACGCGCAAGCTTATCCATCCATCTTCCTCCCGTGCCCTCTCCTCGCCCATAAGACTCCGGTAGGCCAAAAGGAAGAGTGGCTCCCCTTCGACAGCTTGCAGGCTGCTTCCATGGTCGCGACTCCGCTCACCAACACGCCGTCCTCCTCAATTCATACGACGACCGACCTTCGAGGAGTTCGATCCAACCGCGGCACGATACAACCGTCACTTGCGCCACAGCATCGAGAAAACGTCGTCATCTCCAAGCTGCTGGGGCAGCGGCAGCTCCTGCAGGGACGAACGACCTCATCGCAGAGGCTCGCGCGTGAGCAACGAGCAATCCCTCGTCGCTGGCCCCATTCGCAAGTCACGTCACCCGACCTCGCCCGCTCGACGGCGCGGGGCCGAAACCACCAACTGCTGCACGAGAGGAAAACCCTGAAGCCGACCGACCGACGGCTCCGAATGATTAGAGCAGGATCATCTGCCGCCCGCCCTCCCGCCCGCCCTTCGGGAATCAAGGCAGGGTGACCAATTTAACCATCAGCCGAACCGCCCCCACCCCACCACACCCCACACCGGAGCATTCACGGGAGACGCATTGATCAATCAAACTGGCGGCAGCGAGAAGCCGTCGCGAAGGCAGAGAGACCGACCGACTGACGACTGCGTGCTGGTCAGGTCAGGTCAGAAACATCAGCTTCAGACATCGATTGCTGACGACGAGGTCGAATTGCCAGGATAAATGACGACAACGACGACGGTGAGTCGGTCGGGAGATTAGGGACGAGAAACGAAAATCAGCAGACGCAGAAGCGGAAGCAGCAGCAGCAGCAGCAGCAGAAGAAGAAGAAGAAGAAGTGTAAGGGCCGCAAAATCGACCCAAAATGGCAGCGGCCACGAGAACGAGAACGAGCGAGAGCACGAGACGAGAAGGGAAGGGAAGGCGCAGGAAGCAACCGGAAGACAAGAGACGAGAGGAGGCGTGATAACTGAAAAGCTCGCGCATCGGCCACTCGACCGCCGCCACGTGTGCAGGAAGGCTCGACGCCCATCGGGTCTTGTCGTGGGAATAAAAATACCCTCCGTACCTCTCTCTCTCCCTTTGTCTCTCTTTCGCTCGCTCCGTCTCTCCGGCGTCCCCCACACCTCCGCAGCAATCCTCCGCCTCGTCGTCACGGGCCGCCGCACCGACCCAGTCAGCCAGCCAGCCAGCCAGCCAGTTTGGAAGCCAGCCAGAATTGACGGTTCCGGATATCCGATCCGGGCCGCCTCGAGCTCGGACGATGGGTTCGCTCACCCGCGCACTCTGGAGCCTCCAGACGAGCGACGCGCGTCTTCTGGCGACGGATGCCGAAGCTGTGCGCTTTCGATGGGGCGGAATCTTCCGCTCTCACCCGCGCTCCTCCTCTGGCCTGGAGGTCGGTTCGGGATGGCGCCGCTCCGCGCGCGTTCGGTCTCGCGCTGTCTCTATCTCTGGAGCAGCGGCGACGGGAACATGAGCCTCCCCCCACATCCATCCATCCATACATCCATCCATCCGGTGGCTCAAAAGCGCGGCCGCTCCCGTCGCCCGGCGACCTTCCTCCGCCACACACACGCTCGGGGCCGTCGGCGCTGCCCGCCGCTGTCCGGCTCGATGCCTGCTCCGGCACGTCTTCCGGCTGCATGACGCTGCCTTAACCCGCATCTTAACCCGGGTTAGCAAAGGATTAACTCGGGTGATTCGGATCCACGCTCTCCGCCTTGCTTGAGCGCGAACTGGTGTGGCCAGACGAAGGCGTGACACCGTTATCAACAACTCTAATCACGAGAACGGGATGGGCGGCTCGAAAAGCGGGCAGTCGTAGCTCCGACGAGCTTCCGCGCTGCTCATCTCGATTCTAGTAACCCTCTGTGCTTCAGATTTTGTTCCATGGGCGCATGTAATCTGGACGCGGATGGCCGGCCTCAAATACCGCACACGAAAAGGACAGGATCACTCGCTTTGGTTGTATGATGCCATTTATGTTCACTTATGTTTCGTATCTGTTTCGAATATATGGTTCTAGGGCATGTACGAAACTGAGTATTCATGAATGACCTTGACAATTGCAAATATATTCCGTGAGATTGCAATTCAAGTCCGATTATGCTGTCATAAATACGTACTTTCTTGAAAAAGTTGAAACCACGCATAGAGACATCAATATGTCCTTAGAAATACCCTAGAAATGCTGCAACTGTCAAAGTGTAATCACCCACATTTTACATTGAGTTGTTCCTAATTTGCAACTATCCCTTGGAAGTCAGTTAGGATCGGGTTGGAGGTTGGGGGTTGGGGGTTGGAGGAAGCGATTGTTCAATCCGGAGTAAGCTACAAGGCACTTCGATTCTATTCAAAGTCGTTAAGCAAACATTGACCTGCTCGACAAGTTGAAAGTTCTCATTGGATTGAAGGCCACATTAACTTTCGGATTGGGTTTTTTACTGTCGGGAATGTGCATGGATTGGCCATCTGTCAGGTTGAGGAGGCACACGGAACGCAGAGGTGGTGCATTCGAAGGTGCTTTTTATTCATTGGAAGAGCTGTACTGGGAGGTATGATAGGTCACACAACCATGGCTCTACATCTTTCTGTTTGTCGTCTCTCGCTCTGCTCTCCCTCCCTTGCCTTGCCTTGCCTTGCCTTATCTCCTCGAGCATGAGTCAACGTTAACTACTCCTCGCTTCTCACACCATATCATTTCATATCACCTCAAGTCGTTAGAAACAAGCTTTTTTTGCTTTAGGTTGCTCCATGACATCAATCGAATGCAACAAATCGGATCATTTGGCAAAACTCACCTTAGACGTACACATCTTGAGAAGAAATTGTTATTTCTACGTCCAGCCTTTAAACGCTTCCCAACCATCTCCATATTTCCCCCCGTGTAGTGTTCTTTTTATGGCTTCATCATATTTGTCAAATCTTTAGTAATATTCTTTACTGGTTTAAAATGTAATCAATGTAAAATCAATCTCGTCTTTTCCGTCGTTATCTGCGCTTTTTTGTGATACATTCCAATAGTATTTGTGATATATTATTTTTAGTAACTCTTCAATCCAATAGTAGAAAGGGCCAAGTGGTTAAGAAATTAAAACATTAAGAAAAATATAAATCTACTCAAACATATAATCGAAAAACTTTTTATACAATCAGATGTTAAACCAAAGCGACACTTCACTTTATTTATGGATGAAGATAATTATGGAGTATAGTATGTTGACCTACATGCTAAAACTTGAGCGTTCATGAAACTTATGGCATGGTTTCTACAAGAGTGGATGAAAATATATATATATCCATGCGAGAACTAGTAAAATTTACTTTCAAAAAATACCATTTGGAAGGAAAATAAGGATAAATCATATCTTCTTCCACATAAACACTATAATTCCAATTGGTTTCTTGAATCTTATTTTCATGAAGGAAAGAATTATATAACTTTTCAGTCTGTTGGAATACGTTGTAATTTGTATAAATATATATTTCAAGTCAACAATTTTTCTTTATACAGAATAAAATTTTATACAGTTTCTTAATACAGTTTTCTTTTGTTGAAACCTTTTGTGTTTCTTGAGTCCGTGGCAAGTGATCTTTACAACATATGGCATTTTGTCCAAATCAATTCTGGCAAAGTTGCCATCTAAAAAAAAAAGTAGGTTTTACAAGGCTTGGATTAATTTGTCATTACATATGGAAGCTTCAATTAATTCTATTGAACATAATCTTACAATTTTATGTAAAGTCTTTGGTTGCTCTGGACATAGTCTTCATAAGTGATATTTACGTATCCATAGGTATGATCTACATATCTGCTCCATGCACATAATATTTGTGTTGGCTATGAAAGTTTTCTGTATAAAGTCAACAGGATTTGATGTATATATATTGATTCAGTTTAAAAAATTGTAATGTGTGGTATTTGTAACATTAATTTATAAAAAAATGTGATTTATATACGTATTTATATTTCATTGAGTAAAGATTTACTATTGTTATAAAAATGAATTCTTTTATGTTGATGTAATTATAAATTTAGAAAATGCTTATTATATTGTGAAATTTATTATTGATTTCAATATAATGTTTTGCAAGATAAATGAAGAAATTTTACTAAAAAAAAATGTAATCATGCACTCATAAAAAATTTTATAAACATATTATTGTATAATATATATTATAAATATAAATAAATAAATATTATGTATTGATATAGAAGTGATCTTATTATAATATTATTCTTTAATTATACATATATATATCAATATAAAAATTATTTAACTTAATATATTTATTTCAACAAAATTTTATTATTAATAGTTTATTCATAGTTCTTTATTTAAATTTATTTTTCTTGCTATTTATTATTATATGATTTTACTATTTTAAATTTTTATTGAATCTGAAATTGTTGAGGTCAGATTCAAGTTTAACACTTATTTACATAGCTTTTTGAACTTTCATCCATCAATAAAATCTAATGCAAAGACTATATTATATTCAATTATATATTGGATTGAATTTGGATAAAAATTTGGCTCTGAAAATTAGTTCAACCATGCAGATTCATTTTCATTCAACCTTAAATTCGACACTAATTAAGATAAGAAATCAAGAAATTTATATTTTCCATTTTTCAATAATATCACCACGTTTCTAAAAAGATATTAGAAACACATAATAATTAATTTCTCAAAATTTAAAAACTAATGCCAGAAAATTCGTTTCTCAAATTCCATGATATAATTAAAGAAAATATTGATTTAAAAAACAAAAATATGTAAGATTGATTGAAACTAATGCTTAAATTAAAATTCATCTTAAGAAAAATTGACACAAATTTCTATCAAACTAAATAATATCAAAAATTGATTCTTTGAATAACAAAAATAGAAGAATACATCATCATAGCGAGATTTATAAAAATGGGATTTGTATCAAATTCACGAAATATTTGACACCGTAAAATCCGAATACTATTTTTTATCGCTACATTGATATACACATAATAGCAATATATCTCTTCTTTACTATGAAATAAGCTCATTACGAAACATTAAAATTTCTAGGTATTTTTTTGGAGAATCTGTTGAGATTGGCAGTCTAATTTTTTAATAATCTGACTGTTGCATGATCATATGTTTGTTTTGTAAAATTTGGACAGTGGGTTGCATTTAAGGATCTCTGTGATCTCACAATGATACGTAGAAGGCATTCATGATCTCTACTGCGATTCATGACGTCAAATGTTTCGGGGGTTATCTGATGGTTACAAATGATTAGATTTGGATTCCAATATCTGTGGTGATGTCTCTTGAAGCCAGACCACTAGTGTCAAACGACAACACTAACATAAAACAATGTCAAGCATGATAGCTTCCTCCAAAACAAAACATCAAGTTATACTTTCAATTCTATCTTGTAGAAATATGTGATCCATTTTATCACATTTAGCACCCAGAATATCCCGATAATTTGTCCAAGAGAAGCAATAAAAACTATTCGAAGAATGATAAATTTGTATATCAATGCACATCGCAGGTTCAAGTCCTGCTATACCCAAACTTTGGATTTAGTAATTCTGGCAGTTCGTATACGCGTCCAAATAGAACTTAGTGTCTTCGGGTGGAGGGGATCATATATTACGAGCCATTACGCTAAAAGTGTGACGAAGTTCATAGATCAAGGTAGTTAAAGCCCTAAGGATGACAACAGAAGCAAATACACACTAAACGCACGTTGAGTCGATGGCTAGAAAACAGGTTAGTACGCTGAGTGCAAGGCAATTATATATGTTGCGACTATAATAGTCAAGCACAAGGAGAAGCCTTGCAGCGAAACATCACAGGGGTTCATAAGATAATAGTGATTCCTACGGAAGCATGTCGTTATAGCACAAACAAATGGATATGTCCGGGGTGGAGCTCAACTAATCCAAACAGTACTTTTTCAGTAATTATATGGTTTCAAATAGAGTAAGCGGAAAGTAGTTATCACACCTCTATGAAAACCATTTTCTTTGATAAAATTTTCTGAATATGGTTCACATCATTCTGAATGCACCATAAATTAAAATACAATTTCTAGCGGAGGCGACTGAATGTGTAGCATAGGAGGCGAATCCGTATACAGCCTGTGATGGCAGTTCAATCCATGTCGAGTTCAGATTGGACAACATGAACAACGTAAAATCAGGGGGTTTAAAAACTTGCCCATTATCCTCGGGGGCAACATCAGAAATTGGTCTTTTTTTAAGGGCGAGACAGCTTTGAGATCTTGAAAAACCAATCCCGTAAATCACATGGGCTAGATAATTATAACTTGCCCCTATCGGCCTTCCAAGAAAGAAAAAAACTGCTCTCAATTTCGGAGCACACGAGAAATGTATTTTGTTTAACAAGCTCTATCCAACAAAAGCTTTACGGAACTCTTCAACTCAATAGTCATGAACCTTATGGGAAGAGGAGTGGTTTTGTGGGAATTGCTCGATGCACGTCCATTAATTCATGTATCCATCTTGAAACCCCATGTTATGTAGGATGGCATTTATGACCCAGCTGAGTAACGCGAGACTCCAGGTACATCCTTCTTCTCTTAAATGCACCACAAGCTTGTGGACAGCGATTTGATATATTCCACTGTGGACCTCTCAACCGCTCTAGAGTTGGAACGATGTGAATAAACTGCAAGATGTACGGTTGACTGACTTTCGTGGACCTGTGGAATAGTTGGAGGTCACTCTACTCATGATCAGAGGAGTTGCCTTTTGAAAGTGCCAGGTTTTGTCAACATCACAAGGACTCGGATCGGAGCAAAAGTTCCTCATATTCGCTTGACTTGCATAACATCAGAAGATTCAACAGCAAAGAAGTCGTAGGCAATCACAAATATCTCAACAACTGCATGCAGGCGTGAGACAATCATTCTTTGATCCACTACTAGAGATGATCAACTCAGCTCCTGCCTGGGCTTTCAATGCAGCAAAATTATATGCTCCTTTCACAAGCTTCCTCGACTTCCGAAGCATGCATGTAAGCCTCTACACACTGCCCTGTCCACGAGAACACACACTTTCTGCATGTGACTCATGAGTGAAATGTACTCCACTTTTACACGAGTCTTTCACTTTACTTCTTTCATATTTTACTTCTTCTACTACTATCTGTCCGCCAGAGATTTCTCCACAATGAGCAATCTACCAACAGTACGATGGATTACAAACATGCCAGTATTTAGATGATCCCCTGAGCTTTCGAGACACCCTCCCGAGCCTCGCAGTACTGTAGACGTAATTCGTAAAGCCAGTGTGTCATCCATCGGACGTGCTCTATCTACCCAAGTACAATATCCCTGCACGAAGCAGCCGAAAGACAGGAGCCAAATAGCAGGTGCCGCAAGCAAGCACATGCTTCTTCAGTGACAAGGGCAAACTGTTTCTCTGAACATTGCGTGTGGGAATCATTCGATTCCAGGAGTCGAGAAAACCCCACCACAGCATTCAAGACAAACGAATCAGGATCTGACCAACAGGGAAATACCACTCGCCGGGCGTTGGCAACTGGGCAGCTCCCTGCTGCTGCAGCACTGCTGGTGTTTTGTAACTATCTGAAATAGTACTTCCCTACAACCTCCTTCGCCTACATGCATACGTCCCAAGCGTTTCATGTTTGTTTCGGATCAGACGACGCTCGTACATGTGACTGTGTTGTGTTACCGACATTGCGAAGCTGGGGCTACAAAAGTGAAGTCCCTTGTTTCGTGCAGTCCTAACCGGTCTCGTCTAAATTCGCAAATACGTTCTGCTATCTATGTGTTCTTGCAAAGTGTTCTGTGATTTGTATATCTCTAACAGCGAGTGTAAAAATTCTTGAGAATCGTAACTACCACTCAATAATGATGTTTTCTGTTTTGAGTTATTTCCATCACAATTTGATTATTCTTCAGTATAAACGTCCGCGTTCTAGTCTTCCACATCTTTGTATATATTATATATACATAATTGTATATATAATGTCATACAAGCCCAATTTTTTGCATACGTATTTTATGCCTAATTGGTACATAAGACAAGCATTAAGAGGATATATAGATGTTCGATTCACATTTTACCCGAGGAAAATGTATGGTGTACGTGTCTTGTAATGCAGGAACTGTTACATTTCAAACAGACAAACCCTGCCCCTATTCAGGAATGTAATTTCACGTATGGCTTTCAATCCTTTCGGGAGAATCGAATCCTGTGGCCTAATTTGGATAGAAACCTGGATAACGAACAAGAGAATATCATCTCAAATAGGTAAAATATCTTGGGACCTGATTATGCAGAATATGGATCACTTAAGATTGATTCATGTGTGGGTGCGGTGTGACGTACACATCGTTCCCTTATATATTATTTTATCGAAGCTTGCTCAAGTTCATTACCTTTCCCAGATAAGCTTGAGATGTTTTGATTCTTTAAGCATATATCTTTATCGCAACTGAAAGATCATTATATCCCTTGAGACACTTCCTCATGATCTTGGGCAACACTATCTACGCCTTAAATAGATCCACGTTAAGTTTTTAAATTCCTTCTTCAGGTGAAATCATGTACGGACTTAGTCTAGCTAGTTAGCTTAGATCGCGCATGTTGTGTATCTCGACCCTGGAATTTGGGATCACTTAACTATCGGATATCCACCCATTCATGCTGTAGAGCGATGCTATAATAGCTTAACAATTTGCATGATTGTAAGTGAGGGTGTTGAGAACTTCATGAAATTCAAACATTGCACATAGTCCTAATCCATTCAAGTATTGTTGCATCATACCAAAATCTTGTTAGTGACTCGCCACATACCAGAAAGTAAAGTAATACACAATACAAATATTTATAAGATCTTGAACTCTATACTTATATTTCTATTGAGCTATCATGCATATTGCTATATATTTTTGTAACCATCTTGGTCATCCCTAGTTTCACTTGATTTATGTTTCAAACGTGGATATGTATGTATCTCATACTCAAATCTTTCATCATGACATGAAGTAATAACGTTGAAATAGTGTTAAAAACAATGTTTTTCTTCAATGGCTATATTTAACGGGACATGTGATGCTAGGCCACCATGATATCACAATGAAATATATAGACTAATGAAAACTGAGGTATAAGAGGTATAATATTTAGTATTGTGACTCAACAAATATGGAAAGGTGATGAAATTTTTACATTATATAATCAAGACAAGAATAATGTAGATCAACATAATAGCCAACACATTTTATGATTGATGAAAATCACAAAAGTATTTATTCTGAATGATCAAGATGTTGAAAAAGTTTTGAAAAAAAAAGGGTAAAAATGTATTAAGTATTGAACATGATGAAGTACAAAGAAATTAATGACTACATAATCTCAAATTTTTTATATTATTATTATTAATATTTCAAAATGTAAGTTTGGAACCAATTTGATAATATTCTATCAACTAAATTGAACACAAAAAATCTTAAACTTTTGCCGATAATTATTTTGAAATGATTTATTATTACTCATGTCAGCATAATCACTTTGGATATCTCTATATCTTTTTTGTATGGAGAGGCTAGTTATACCTCACTTTTGGCTAATTATCCATCACCCTATTATATACTCTAATGTAGAGCTCTATGATTGGTCAGACGACAAAACAGAACGGGGATGTAGTTTTTGCAGATGGATGGATGCTTCTTCTACAATAACGACCTAGATCGCTTCCACCAGTTTTGTGGCGTGGAAATTAGAGTAGCTGCATGCGCACTCGGCCGCCACTCCCGACACCATCTTCCTGACTTCGATCGCACATGCCAAGGAGAGCTAACTAAAGATGAATTTTGTGGCTCCAAGCATGGAGGGAGTCATCCTGTACTCGTAGTACTCAAGCAACATTTCGTTTTCGGAAGAATGAAGCAAAGTCCAACACGACCAAAATCATGTGGCGCAAGCGGAAGAGGCCTTTTTGAAGTTTCAGACTTTGAAATTGCATGACACGGAATTGTTGGCCATCGTGGAATTTTTCAAGATGGCGGTGGTCAAAGCCCGTCTTGTCGTCATGTACTTCTGCAAAATGATCATGAAGCAGGTGGAGGTGTTGGGCTATTTGGTCTGCAGGACTCTAGCCAAAATGGATCCTCAAACCAAGTTTCTGAAGAAGTATCACACGACATTCATGCTTGAATTGCAGCTCAACAGAGCATTATTTCATTGCTTCAAACATGACAGTTTTG